ATTCTGGTTCATCCACTCATTGTTATTATTATTATTGGGAGAAGAATAAGATTGGCGAAGTGAAGGAGGAGGAGGAAGGTGGAGAGAGAAGAGGGAATTGTCATTGGTCTTGCTGGTGCATATCTTCTTCTTCTTCTTCTTCTTCTTCTTCTTCTTCTTCTTCTTCTTCTTCTTTCTCTCTCCTCTGGTCTCTATCTATTTGCAAGTGCTTTCATTTCTTTCGCAATTGGGTGGCATTGTCTTTCATTGTGAATTTGCACTTTGGGAATAACCAGGATCGTAACAATTGGTATCGGAGCGGACTTACTTGCTGGCGAGAGGTGTTAGTCACCCTAAACCTAATTCCGAGTTAGGTTAGGGCTAACCTAATCTCGGATTAGGGTTAGGACGTTAGGGTTAAGTGGGGCAGTGAGGTATGTGGATACTGCCCCCACCTGGTTAGGTCATGTAGGGTCCACATCAGACCTGACCAGGTTGCTTGAGTGATTGGATGGGGTGGCGAGACACAAAGGAGGCTGATTGGAGTTAGCGAGAGGGAGTAGAGAGTGAGAGATACTCGCACCTGGAATCTGCACTTCAAGAAGACATTGAGTGACTTTTGGGCTTCCCCTCAAGAGGGAGCCTTGATCGGAGGCTGCCAGATAGCTGCAAGTTGCTACTTTGGTCTTCAGGCATCGGCGGGGGATCCGGTGTTGCAACAGGGGTGTGGGAAGGCCCTCTTAGTCATGCTAGGACACTTCGTGTAGTGGTAGCTAGGGGTCAGGAGGACTTATGAGAGAGGGGGGTGAGTTGTTATCCATCTTTGGAGGTCGGGCCTCACAGGTAAGTGTCGTGTGACCTGGTTATGCCCATGGGAGGTTGCTTGCTGCTTCATGGCCTGTTGGGGTGTGCTGGGCTCTCTTCCTCTTCTTTGCGGTCTTGGTTGTGTGTGTGAGCATGTGGATTGCTTTCTCACCTGATGGATGGATGGATGATGTATCTGTTTTAAGTGACATATCTTTCTACGGTGCAATGTCTTTTCATTTCTGAACGGCTGTAGGGGTGAGTTCTTGTTGGAAGTTGTCTTTTCCTTTTTCAGTACGGTAGAGGCAGTTTGGGACTGACTTGGTACACCTATCTCGTTGGTCCTGGTCCACGACCTACTTGGGACCTTCGGGACTCAGTGGGACCAGGCCCAACGGGACAGGACCTTTCGGCCCCAAATCTGTTGCGGTCGATGCACCTCTTTGTTGTGCTGAACTTGGGGGACATACGACTAGCAAGGGCATTCCTTTCAAGGGGATCTTGATTGGTCTTACTGCATGTTATCACATACTGCCCCGCGTCTGGCTCGGTGACCGTCTGCACCCCTCGAAATCTCCATTGCTGCAATTAGTTTTTCTTCGGCTGATTTATTGTGGTACATGTACCTTGTCAGGTTAGACAAGAGGGGATCTCCAACTAATCTGATCGGGCCCGTTTGATAAGTCAGCCCTCTCTTCCATTTTTTTTTTAAAAAAAAAATTCTTTTTTCTGCTGCGTGTCATTCTCTAAGTCCAAATGAATTGCTGCTCCGGCTAGGAGATCTACCTTCTACTCTTTGTGTTTTACTGTTTGCTTCTTTTATCTGAACTTTCTATGTCCGGTATCGAGACGCGTGCGCGGAAAGCGGAAAGAGAGAGAAGGGAGAGAGGTGTTCTTTTTGAAAGTGTGAAAAAGGGCAAGAGGAGTGTTCGTCCAAACGTGAAGAGAGACCGGACCCCTCTTGAGAGATCTACTAACACCCCTTCCTCCAGCATGGCAGACATCTCATCTGCCCAATGGCAGGCCATGCTGGACGCAGCGGACGAGAACGAGAAAGCGTTCTTTCAAAAACTTTATGACGATGCCGTACAGAGGGAAAGGGAGGCAGAGGCAACAACCAGAGCCACAAGCATTGCTGAACAGATGGCCCTCCTTACGGTTCCGAAATCGAATGATGACCCATTCCGAGAGAAGATATTTGTTGCCGTAGCAGTCTTGGTTTAACTGCGGACCTTGGAAGACCTCGAGTCCCGTGTGATAGTCTTGGAGCAGCGGAACCAAGAGCTGCAGGCTGAGATAGTCAACCTCAAACAGTCCCAACTGTCTGCCCCCCGTCCTCCTAACCCTCGACCTGCTGCAGTCCCAGTCTCTCAACCTAACGCAGTCCTCATGACGAGAGGTGGAACTGTGACGAGCGCAGGAACCGGTGCCAACTCCTCAAGCGGCAGCGCCGGCGGTTCTGCACTGGTCATAGTCCCAAATGCAGGAACATCAGCCCAAAACGCCACAGTTCTTAC